AACATTGCTCATTATGTGAAGAATTTAATAAAACTCACGTGCTTCTTCATCCCCATTCATTTATATGATGGGAGAGAGGTAAAACTTACATTTTCACTTTTCCACGAATCCCTTTTATGACCAATGCTATGTACTGTAGCTTGTTTTATTTATACTGAAAATAAGCCAGAATCAAACCGTGGTTTCGAATATTGGTTTATTTTCACTAAACACCGTTAAACAAATCATTGTTCCCCAGGTTCAGAGAAAGGTTAATTCAGGTATCCAGTTAGGTCTAGTGGTTAGAGGGACAGACTAGTACTATAGGGACAAGGGTTCAAATCCCCACTTGGTTGTGGGAACTCACTGGGGGAGTGGAACTGGCAAAACCTTAAATATCCCACTTACCTTGAAAGTCCTATTAGGGATGAAGATTCGTTTGGTGGAAACAGAAACTTTTAATCTTGTCAAGGTTGAAGAAGGAGACAGAGGAGGAGAGAAGGGAGAACAGAGAGAGAACCAATGTCATGTCGAGGTTAAGAGAATTGGATTACAGAGACCTATATTCAGTTCACTTCTGGGATATGAAACAATTGGTGAACATGGACTTGTCACAGACATTCATCTAGCCCTACCTCACAGGCTTATTGTGAGGGAAAAATGGGGAAGATGAGAACCATATATGTCGTGGTTCTCACTGGAGAAAAATGGGCAATAAATGTAACAAGCAAATACACAAATGAAGTCTTGGATTAATTCTTATCAGCAAACCATGGTTTCTTGTCATGCCTGAACCAGGCTGCTTTGTAGAAAAGTAATAGTAATTACTCAGAACAGCAACTCCCATCTGAATTCTCCTGCTCACATCATAACAGATATCATCATATTGGGTATTTCCCTAAAATCCTGTTGCTTTGTTATGCAGGTAGAAAGCAAATGGTGTAACATTCACTTGGTTTCAGCCAGCAATTAATGAGTCCCTGCTGGATTCCCAAGCGTGTGCCAAACTGGCAACTCTTTAATTGCCAGCTGGAACTGAGTGAAAGTTATAACATTGGTCTTCTGCCGGCATAACAAAGCAAGAGGATTTCTTGCACCTTTTTGAAATGACAGGAGTTAAATTCACAGTGGAAGGCTGTCGTGACATGAGTCCGTTTTAGTACCTCTTACCAAAGAGGAGAACTTGACAGAAAGTCCCTTTTTTAGGACATAGTTTTGTTTGTCTTAATGTCAAGTCTTACTGTGGAACTGTGAGGAAGAAAGTCCTCATTTTAACTCTCTCACCTCGGTAGTGGTCGCACTCAGATGGCTGAGCAACATATTATACCCCTTTAAATGTCATGGCTTCATCGTATGAATTCCTGAGATCAGTTATTTAAGAATTCTCGCCTGTAAAGCTCTTGTGTCATGTTTTGGGAGAGTGTCCTAGTGCTTCTCCTGCAGCAAATTCTAAATATTTCTCTAAACTACAATCTCAGGATCCCATAGGATGGGACCATGGCATTTAAAGTGGGATGAAATAACTGTAACTGTGTAATATAGAGACTTCTCCTTCATTGGCCTCAGCTATGCAGGTACAATATCTAGGGCTAACAATACTGCCCGATTTTCGTGGATTGCCATTATGAGAAATAACGTAGGTAGCTTTTCAGATTTCAAGAGCAATGTGGTTGTTAAGTATTGTAATTATTATTGAAATATCTGAAGTTGTTAATGTAGACCTTGCTTCATGCAGGCCTTTGTACTTTGAATTACCTACAGATTTCCAATCTGCTTTTGAAACACTGTAAGAACTGCTATAATATTATACTCTTTCCGCCCCTTATCTGAATTATGTATGGATGCATATTCTTTCTCTGCATTTGTTATGTATATATATTTTCATATATTGTTCGTTTTCTTCCCTTGGTTTTCTGAGACACTGGAGTAATTAAACTGTTAATTCTCTGTTTTCTTATGTTTACTATCTCTTGGGAGACAGACTATTTTGCATGTTGACTTTTCCAGTTACATTCTGTTGAGCGCAGTTACCCAACATGTCTAGAATGCATAGCTGACTCCAGAGTTGCTATGCCTTTGACTTGACTACCTATGAAAATTAATGAAACTTTTGTTTGCTGAAAACACAGTGAAGTTACTGTCCACTGTGCGATGGCCTTCTTTGGAAAACTTTACGCCACATGAATCCACCTGTATGGTGACATTATGAAGTCTTTGAGCACTGCAAGAAAAGGTGGACCATCGTATGCAATGTTTGTTTGCATTGCTGAATGGTCATCACTGTGACATCCTAGCATGAGAAATGAAAAAAGCCACCTAATCCTCAGGTTCAGCAAGAGTGCCAGTGTGGTGTAGTAGGAAGAGGACTGGATCTAGGGCTCAGGAGAGCAAGGCTGAAATAGCCATGCAGCCATTAAAAACTATGGGGGTGGGCGGCAATTATAAGTCACTCTTTGAATATATCATGTACATCAAAAACATCACTGAAGTCACAAGCGGAAAGGGATTCAGTGGCACAACAACGGCAAAGTTGCCAAAGTTGCACCTTTCCAGTGAACTAAACCAATAAAGGTAAATGTACCCCTTGACAATTTTTGTCCAGTCGTGTTCGACTCTAGGGGGCGGTGCTCATCTCCATTTCCAAGCCATAGAGCCAGCGTTTTGTCCAAAGACAATCTTCTGTGGTCACATGGCCAGTGCGACTTAGACATGGAACACTGTTACCTTCCCACCAATGTGGTCCATATTAATCTACTCACATTTTTTTTACATGCTTTCGAATTGCTAGGTTGGCAGGAGCTGGGACAAGCAACGGGTGCTCACTCCGTCACGTGGATTCGCTCTTATGACTGCTTGGTCTTCTGACCCTGCAGCACAGGCTTCTGCGGTTTAGCCCACAGCGCCACCACGTCCCTCAACTAAGCCAATAGACTTTAGGATTAAGAAATCAAGATGGCCAGCTCAGCTGCAGGGCATCGCTCTGCAACAGCATACACACCTTGACAGAAGTGGGTCCCAGGAGCAATGATGGGATGGCCAGCTCAGCTGCAGGGCATCACTCTGCAACAGCATACACACCTTGACAAAAGTACTTTCCACTTGTGACTTTGCCATGGTGACTGGGAAGCTCTCAAATGGTTGTGATGGCCCAGACCTTTTGGTCTAGCCTTCGTGATACCATTGGTTCGTAAATACACCAGACCCTCACCAATCCGTAGGCTTCATGTTGTCTACCAATGGTAGGACTTTGCATTATATATCACTGAGCCCTTCTAGGAAAGCTCCAGAGCCTGGACATACAGTCTCAGTAGACTAATCTAGACTTGGAATGCATGGGTCTCAGTTAAAGCCGTGGCTTCTCTAAAAAGCAACTAGGTTTCATTTGATTTTTACACCACCCAGCTCAGAAATGTCATTTTGAAATCTAATGCATGAGGACTGGTGTTGGTTTTTAAACACACGCATAACCAGCAATATGTAAGCTGTTAATAATACTTTGGATTGTTTCCCCCAGTGATCTTCCCCAATCATGTTTTCAAGTAATGAGTAAACATTAATTAAATTAATATTAATTAAATATTAATTAATATTAATTAAATATTACTCATTACTTCAAAACATGATTGGGGAAGATCACTGGGGGAAATAAATGAATAAATTATCACAAGTCTGATGGCACCTCAAAGACTAAAAATTTTGGGTTTCGCTTTAAAAACATGAGCTTTAATAGACTGTAGTCCATTTCTTCAGATGCTGGACTACAGTCTATTAAAGACGTGGGTTATCGTCCAGAAAAGGTTGTGCCAACAACAGGGAAACAAGCCTACACTCTTTGAAATATTGTTATAACAAAAATCGAGTGATGTTCATTATTTTATTTTGAGATAAAATAATGTTAACTCTCATTAACCCTTCCCCTTAGAAAGCATCATGTTACAGGTACATTGTTACTTGTAATGTGTTGTTTCCAAGTTCCAGTCCAAACCTGCGCATTCCAGTGTAGATTACAGCTGGGTCAGAATTAAATGACATCTCTAACTATCTTGTCTTTCCAGGAGCATCTGCTCCTTCTGTAATCTCCTCACAGGCATTTCTCGCCTTCTACTAGGAATGACGTCTCACTGCCACGAGGGGGTGCTGAGCTACTAATTCTTTAACTCTGGAGGACTGGAGTCACATGGATATATGGGGAAACTGAAATGGCAGACAGTGGATCCATTAATAGTAGTAGGGGAATCCTGGTGATTATTTAACTGCAGCAAATCTAGCATAATTGTCAATATGATTCAACTCACATACTATTTCTTCAAACCCCTAAGAAAATGCCAACAATAACAAGCTATGTGATCACTTAAATCCATTGCATATTGCATATTCTCAGCAGAGTAATTGTTTCATCCGTGGGTAGGAAGATGACGGTTTTCTCATGTGGAAGCCTGCAAACATAGTATTCAATGGTATGTGTTCACAGCAATTCTTAAATGGCTATATTTTTGTACTACTGCTTCCAGAATGAGGATAACCAATCAAATTCTTGGAGTTGCAGCTCAAAAAAGTATTTTCTACCTGACAACAATGGCTGAAATCCTATTGCGTAGCTAATCCTGCATAACTTGAAGCTACATAAGCAGGTGTGAAATTTGCACCAGGGAGAAAATCGTATTCAGGAAACCATTCTCTGGGTGCAGTTGTGTAGTCGGTTGTGCAATCAGTGCACAGTTAGTTGCATGCTCAATTGCACAGACAATGGTGTGGTTACTTGTGTGGTTAGTTGTGCAGAGACATAGACTGCCTGGGCATAACTCCCCATGAACTTCTTCAGGTGTAAGTAACCCTATGGTACGCCAAGTGCAATAGGATTCTGGGCTGTCTTTAAAAACTAACGTCAGTTTTAATTGTATCATTAGCCACAGCCATAAATTATTAATATGCTTGGGATATCATGTATTTAGGAATACCTTGAAATACCGGTCTGCCTTAAAACGAGCAAGAAAAATGATCCCTTTTCCTTATTTTTTTAGCCAAAAGCTGGGTCTCTTGGATCGGGTTCGTGGTACCAATACTAAAGGAAAGCTATTTACCCCTCTGAATGTAGATGCAATTGAAGAAAGTCCTTCTAAAGAACCTAAGAGTGTTACAGTCTTGAATAATAGAGAGCGTTTTCGCACTGCATTCCGAATGAAAGCTTACGCATTCTGGCAAAGCTCAGAAGGTAAATCTTCTTATTCATTTGTTCATTCGTTCATTTGTTTGTTCGCCCACTTGTTCACTAACTCACTTGTTCTCTCGACCAGATGATTTTATCGGCATTGTTCTCAACTGCCCCAGAGGGCAAGGGAACAGTTCTCATAGGCTTAAGTGACAAGAGGGCAGATTTCATATACATCTTAGAAGAAATCTTCTGACTGCAGAAGCAGCTTGTTTATTTATTTGTCTTGCCTTTGCCCTTTAAAAAAATGCTCAGGATGGCCTGACCATGGAACCAGTTACCAAGAGTGGTGATGGGTTCTCCCTTGAGTTATGTGACTGTGACTCTGTGTTCTTCACTATTGGGTGTAGTGGCCAGGATTGTTGGGAGATGCATTTGAACAAGCTCTAGCTGCTAAACTGATCTGACCTGAAGAGGCTAGCTTTCATAGCCTTGAATCAGGACTTATATAAATCTTTGCCATTGGTGCATATCCCTAGTGGTCATAACAGGAAGATAACAGACCAAATAAGAGCAATTTCACAATTTTCTGATCTCATTTGATCTTGATCTTTGTCCATGTGAGTGCTTATTATGTGTTTTAGATGCTGGAACCGGGGAGCCTCTGACAGAAGACAGAGGGTACAGCAATGAAATCCTCATGGAAGATATGATCCCCACGTTGAAGGTAGCCATCCGAGCTGTCAGGTAAAGTTTGCAGATATTGCATGTATGTTTGTGTGTGTTCCCAACATGTTAATGTTTAAAGTCATTAAGCTTCTATTAAAGTAAGTATGATGCTGACTGTGGATGAGTTTAGGTTTCTGTTTGGAGCATTGCAGGGATGGGCTGGTGCACTCTTAAAGATTATGGTGGCCATAAAACACCTTTACTAGAACACACCAGTCCACCCCCAGACCATTCCTACCCACACCTTTCTGGCCCCTGCTAAGTGGCTTCTACTTTTAAATGTAGGCTGGATCGCTCTGGTTTGGACCAGTTTTTGAGTGTGTGTGACACACTCTAAACAGTTTGAATTTGCCAATATCCTGAAGTGGCTTACTTATTAAGATGTGAAGTGTCTTAACAAGTGAGCCACTTCAGTATATTGGCAAATTAAACACTTCCCCTGCTTTGTAGAGGGCAGGAGAAGTGAAAAACAAATTGTGTTTGACTTTTTATAGACAATCACTGATGTTTTGCATCAATTACTTAAATACATTAAAATCTTTTCTTTGCCTCATCTTACAAGGGCCAGTTCTGATCATGTGTTGCCCATCTCCTGTCTTATGACCTTTTGTAGAACTTCATTCCACGATATACTTGGCCCTGTGGCTTTTGCTGGACATCTAATCTTGCTACCTCTGCTACGTTTTCTGGGGAGAAAAACACTGACCTCTGTTAGCCTTATACCTGAAACTGGAAAGCATATGCATAGGAACACTAATGACATGTTTTACAAGCCTCTAACAGAATACGCCTGCTCCTTTGCACAAGCTAAGATGACAACTTTGTACTGTGATAAGAAAGGATGTTGTTAAACTCAAGTCCAGCCATCAATACCTTTCCCCACTGGAAAAGCTGAAAATAGCAAAGAGAAATCCCACCAATGAATCTTTTCTTCTACCAGAATACTACAGTTCCGCCTGTATAAGAAGAGATTCAAGGAAACTTTGAGGCCTTATGATGTAAAGGATGTGATAGAGCAATATTCAGCAGGACACCTTGATATGCTTTCCAGAATCAAATACCTTCAAGCGAGGTAAGATGTTTGCTGCCAGCCATGCACAGGCAGTAGAGATGTGGGGTTTTCAGGGGTTCCCAAACAGCTTCTCGTGATGGGTTAGAAAGCTCAGTAGGGTAGCCAGTTCATGCTTCCTTTAAAGTCTTGAGCTCCTCCAGCAGAAATTCAAAAGGAAAACTGTGGCTGTGCAACACCAAGGATATCTTTTCACAATCACAATTTGGAATCTATCTCAGGTTAAAGCTGCTGTTTCCCAACGTGGATCGATAAATCAACCTGTTAAAGTTATACGTAAGCCCACTGTAGCCATTGCATAGCATCGCTCATCATCACCAAAATACAAGCCCTGCTTGTGGAGTGAGATGCCTCTGTGTATACGTACTGAGAATGTCAAACAATTTAAACAACAGTTTGTTGCACGAGCAGTTCAACATTAAATGTTAAAATGGCTCCATCTCCTACAACATAAATTTCACATTGATGCAGAGGTGGAACAAAACCAAAAAGCTTGAAGAAAAAATTGAGAAATTGAGCAAATTTGAGCTTGACAGGTTTGTTCAAACCTCAGAGATACCAGTAACATTATATATAACAAAAGGCAGAAGAAACATATGTCCAGTGGGAATTAATCTAATTGATTTGTTTGATCCATATCTTTAGAACATCTGTATCCTACCTTTTGTTACTAGGCTGCCTACCCATGTCAATACAAGTAAGAATAAATCATAAAGCTGGTGAATGAATGAATGAGGTGGATGGATGGATGGATGGATGGATGGATGGATGGATGGATGGATGGATGGATGGATGGATGGATGGATGGATGGATGGATGGATGGATGGATGGATAGAGAGGGAGGGAGGGAGGAAGGGATGGATGGATTGATGGGTTTAGGTGAGTGAGTGAGTGAGTGAGTGAGTGAGTGAGTGAGTGAGTGAGTGAGTGAGTGAGTGAGTGAGTGAGTGAGTGAGTGAGTGAGTGAGTGAGTGAGTGAGAGTGAATAGCAGGCCTTTCACCATATCTTGTTACTATCTTCTTTCAGAATAGACATGATTTTTGCGCCTGGACCTCCGTCTACTCCTAAGCATAAGAAATCCCAAAGGGGAGGAACGTTCTCATACCCTTCACAACAGTCTCCAAGGTGATTTTACTGGTTTTTTAAGCAGTTCTTCGTAGGGGAAAGGGGAAACAAACATTTCATTTTGTTTTGCTTTTGGCAAGCCTTCTGTTTGAGCATTCATGAAAACACTTTGGGCTTCAGTTCCCAACCTTGGGTGAGTTGGATGTTTTTGGACTGCAACTCCCATAAATCTCAGCACAGCTAGTGGGGATGGCTTCTGGGAATTGCAGTCCAAGAACATCTGGGTTACCCAAGTTGGGAACCACTGCTCTAAATGGATGCTTGCAAAACCAAGACATTTCTGAAGGAAAGCAGTGAGAAGATAGTGACACAGGACAATGTATGTAGGTATTCAGCAGGCTGGACAGCTCACTAAGACAGAGTACAGTGGTGCCTCGCTTAATGAGCGCATCGTTTAACAACGAATCCGCATAGCGATGTGTTTTAAGTGATCGCAAAAGCGATCACATTGCGATGTTTGTAATGGCAAAAAATCTCTTTGCGATACTAGGTAAGCGTTTCACTTACCGATTTTCGCATAGCGATGTTTTTTTAACAGCTGATTGGCAGTTCCAAAATGGCCACCGGGTAAAGGAAATGGCCACCCGCTGTGTTTTTGCGCAGATTCCTACTCCTGTAAATCTCAGCACAGCTAGTGGGGACGGCTTCTGGGAATTGCAGTCCAAGAACATCTGGGTTACCCAAGGTTGGGAATCACTGCTCTAAATGAATGTTTGCAAAACCAAGGCACTTCTGAAGGAAAACAGTGCAAGGCGTATGTGTAAGTGAGGAGATAGTGACACAGGACAACGTATGTAGGTACTCAGCTGTCTGAGTAGTTGGCTGCAGAACCAAGGGTTTGGAGTTTGAATCCCAACTGTGCCTCCCAAGAGAAGATCCTGTGTTCCTTGGGAAAGCTACATGATCTCAGAAGTTCCCCAGAAGAAAGGGACATTAAACCACTTCTGAATGATGTATGCCTAGAAATTCCTAGAAAAAGATCACCATGAATCAGAATCAATTTGATGGCAAGCAAATTTTAATACATACCGAGCAATCTTAATTGCAGGTAAATATCTTCACTCACATATGCCATTGATCGATTGCAACACATTCACGAGTTTAATGGCACAGCCCATGACAGAAGACAGGAAACCATAACGGTGGGCGATCTTCATTTTCAGAACTGGAAGAGGATGACTCTGTAATAAGTCCTAGTTAGATGTTGCGGATGCATAACAATTAGTGGTCTCACTGCTGATCGATGGAAGGAGGCGGACCTTCAAGTATCCAGTGGTCTCACTGCTGATCAGTATAGAACCATGCATAATTAACTCAGGATTCTGTAGATTTCAGTCAGGCAATAAAAGTTCTGTGATAATGCTCACACCCAGCTTATGCATCAAAAAATAACCACTCAGAACACTCATCCCATCATGAGTGCTGCATCTCTGTTCAGAAGTGTTCAGAAGAGGGTTATCCGCTGGATGCAGACAAAGTTCCCTCAGAAGGTCCCATTCAGGAAATGAATTGAAAGAAAATACAGTGCAGATGGGTGGAGCACGGTTATTTCAACCTTTTTTCCCCTTTCCTTTCCTCTTTTGCTTCCCAAAAAGCAGATTTTAAATGTGCTTTTTAAAATTGTGCTTTAAACTTATGCAAACCCACAAGCTTGCTGCCTGATTTTCATATATTTAACCCCTCCCCCAGTTATGGTCCATTGTGTCTCCAAATGTCATGTAGTACAAAAGAAGTTATAGCCATTTTGGTTTTCTAGTGCAAGTCAGCGAGAGCTTGTATGTTGACTTGGGTCTGGGTCACAAATCGAACTGGATCTGTCACGAACGGCTCCAGTTCGAATTGGGACATTCCTCAAACCCATCTATTGGTCTCCAAATCACATCAGAGCACTATTCTTCTCTTGCAGGAATGAACCCTACATAGCCAAAGCCTCCACGACAGATCCTGAAGACCAAAGTATGATGGGCAAATTTGTCAGAGTTGAAAGACAGGTATGACATTCTCAGGACTTCACCTTCATTCCTTATGTCTCGCTTTATAAATTAGATTTTGTACACTTTTTATTCTGACAATGTTCTGGTTTTGCTTCAGTTGGCCATGGAAGAGTTTGATGGAGAACCTTAATATGCTCCAGATTCAGATTAAGTCTGTTACTGGCCTCTTTGACATCATCCTCAGTACTTTGGTGTTATCCTGAGGCAGAAACCTGTTTTGTATCCAAAATTGTCAAAACCAGCAACACCCACGAATTTTGAGAAAGATCAGCAATAGAGAAAAGGCACAGAATATTTTTTAAATAAAAGAAAATCTATACAATCAGAAGCATAATCAAGGGAAGGTACAATTCTAATTAGTTGGAATTATAAACTCTCTATAAACTCTTGTATGTACAATCTGGCAGTAATATTCTATTGTGACACATTAATATCAAAAACTTTAACCACAAAATATGAACATTTTCGCTGGCAGCCCCTAGGTTAGAAAGATTAAACCGTTCTCTTCAGATCCCTTTTATAAATGGTAATCCTCAATTCTTCTGTTTGTTTTATATGAATAATGTTATGTTCTTTATACATTCTGAAAGCCCTCAGTTTCTTTTGGAAGGAGGTGGACCCTCCTTTATAAGGCTTCATATAAAACCTCCTTTATTAGGTATGATGTAGCCGCTGATCTAGCACATCAGCCAGGAATTGCATTAGGAACCCCAATGCATCTTCTTACTCTGTATGTCTGTAACCAGCTGATGGAGATACACATTGAGACAATTAGTTGTACCATGACTTCCTCATCTGCTCCTCTGCAGCATCTGGCAGGATGATGCACTGTATGTCATGCCATTGTCTTGTATAGGGATAACATTTTACTATGAGGAAGCAAATGGGACATGGGGTAACCTGCTTGGACCAGCTCTTAATGTGAAGCTGATCTATGAGAAAAGATAGAATTTGAAGATGAATGGTCTCTCCCACGCCAACAACTTGAGATAGAAAGACGGGGAAGAACTGTAGCTTCATGGTAGAGTATGTGGGCTTCAATCCAATTTCTAATCCCAATTTGAATAAACCCATTGAATCAACTGTTGAGCAATGAGTCAAGACTGGTATAAACTCCAGTGATTCAATTAATTGGATTGGGTCCATAAACCCTACCATGGAGCTGGGATAGAACTGTAGTGGGAATTAGCCATGAGTTTGAAGTTCATTCCTCAGCATCCCCAGGTATGTTTGGGAGAGGCTCTGCTCTGAAAGACAGGACAATTGCTCCCACATAGATCATGATAAGCTAGATGTCCCAGCGGTCTCACTTGATATACGTAAGACTGCTTCCTATCTTCCCAGTTCCGAATGATCTGCTTTTGCTTTGGAGGAAACCAACAACTTGTGATTTTTAAAGTCCTTTGGCCATTTTCTTTCAGGTCCATGACATGGGGAAGAAACTGGATTTTTTAGTTGATATGCACATGCAGCATATGGAGCAACTGCAGGTCCGAGTCAGTGAAGTGTGCCCTTCGAAAGAGATGACATCCCCCGCTGAAGATAATAGATATTCTGAACTCAAATCCATCATCTACAAATACTCTGAGCCTTCCATTCGTGAGATGCCTACAAGCTTCCACCATGTCCCGGTGAACAAAGTTCCTCCCTTTGGATTCTCAACCCAGGACCACAGTAACGGTCCGTTTTCATTACCATTGGGTAGTCAGAACTCGAGTCGGTGGCAGGGCATGCCCTTTGCGACTTCGTATGCGGAAAGGCCAACCGTTTTGCCTATACTTACTTTCATGGACCCTCCGCTGTCCTACCGGTCACCCACGGGAGACCTCCGGAGCCCACACTCCGACAGGATCTCTTTGAGGCAGAAACACAGCGTGACAAGAGACAGCGATACCCCGTTATCCCTCCTCTCGGTCAACCCCGAGGAGCTTGAACGTTCACCAAGTGGATTCAGCATCTCGCAAGACAAAGATGATTTCCTTTTTGGACCAAACGGAGGGTCAAGTTGGATGAAAGAAAAACGCTACTTAGCCGAGGGTGAAACGGACACCGATAGCGATCCGTTCACCCCCAGCGGTTCCATGCCTTTGTCTTCAACGGGAGACGGGATTTCCGATTCCGTATGGACCCCTTCCAACAAGCCAG